AGCTGATCCAGGATCTCTTGGTCCAAGCCAACCCCGACACAGCCACGCTCATCATTCCACGCCAGTTTCTGCAGGTACAGCGCCATCACGCAGAATGTGTTGCTTGCAAAGGATCAACGTGCTGCACACACACACACACACACACACACTCACCCACACTCACACACACACACTCACTCATACTCACACTCTCACTCTCACACACAAAAACACAAAAACACACACCACCCCCCCTTCTCTCTCTCTCTCTCTCAAGGTCATCACCACGGTGGGCAAGCGGTTGACGGCTGAGGACATGGCAGTGGCGGATGTGGAGACGTGGCTTGCGCTTGTGGGGAGCTGCTTCACCCAAATCACACAGCTTCAAGAGCCCAGGCCAGAGGACCTCAACAAGTGCCTGGGCGTCTTCTTGCAGACGTGCGCCATGCTCTGCCAGCAACAGCACCAGCAACTACAGCAAGCCCGCGACATTGGACATACGCTTGCCCTGACAGTGGAGCACATTGTCTCCCCTTGCTTGTCCGTGTACGCGGGCCAGCACAAGCAGCACATGAACGCGCGCAAAAACTTCACCATGCTGTGCCAGAAGTGGCTGCCCACCCTCCTGCTGCTGCACCAGCAGTTTGAGCACGTGCGCGCCCCAGTCGAGGAGGTGCTGTCTCTCAACCTCTTCTCCAGTGAACACATCCCATTCTTCGCACAAGCATGCGAAGACCCGTTTCCATTTGACCTCGGCAAAGGTGGGGGCACCACCGCCACAACCGCCACCACCACCACCAACAACAACAACAGCAGCAACAACACCAACAGCAACAACAACACAGGCTCCGCCGCCACTGATGCTGGTACTTTGACATCTTCCTCGTCCTCGTCTGCGAATAAGAACGCTGCGTCGACGTCGGGGACACCGCACACCAAGCGGCCAAAGCTTGGCCAGCGCGCCGACACGTACCCACGTGCGCTCTTCGACACGCTTCGGCAGCTGCTGGCAACATCAGAAGCAGAGGGAGATGTGATGGCCGGCGCAGCCCTGCACGGCATGGTCACGCTCATGACGGTGATTGCCCGCCGTGTGCGCAGCATCATTGCGCCGCTGAGTGATGGCGACGATACCAGCAGCACTGCCAAGCCAACGTCGACCCCGGCAAGCACGAACAGCGGTGGTATGGCATCCACCAGCGCCACCGGGGCAACGCAGCAGAAGATCAACAAGAACCCGCGCGGGACGGTGGAGGAGGTGATGGCCTACAACGTGATGCGTGAGTTTGTGGCCATCCTCATGGCCGCGCAGACGCGCTCCGCTGCAGCCACCGCCGCCACCATCGGTGCGCTGTTTCGGGTGTTTGCCGAGCACCGCGTGTACATGGAGACGTTTGATGCCGTGCACGACCGCGTGGTGACCAAGTGGGCTGCCAGCGTCGCAAAGTCCCTCGTCACCGCGCTTCATGCACCACAGCAACTAACACAGGCGCCTACAGCAGCAGCTACCACGACCTCACATGGCAGCACCGCCGGCAGCATCCCCGCCAGCATCCAACACACGGCTCCTGGCGTGGAGGCCACGGCCAAGTGCCTGCACGACATGGCAAGCTGCTGCTACCTGTTTGTGGAGGAGCACCTTGAGGCCATCTGGCTGCAGCTGCTGCCGCGCACGTGGCTGCTGTCCCCAGCCTCTGATCCCGCCGCAAGCGCCGTGCTCGCGTTCACGCGCTACATCCTCTCCCTCTACGCAAAGCTGCGACAGCTGGACGCTCCCGCCAAGGCGCTCGCAACAGCATGCGTGCACCTCGTCTCGCACGCACGCAGCACGCACACCCTCACCGCCACGATGGAGGGTGCGGGCTGGCACGACGCCCGGGCTGTGTCTTCCCTGTTCCTGCGCGAACTGGCGCAGGCGTGGGCAGCCGCAACCAACATGCTGCCAGCCGGGCAGAGCACACACATCCTCACGACCGTGGCTGTAGCGTTTGAGCCCGCGTGGGAGCATATTCGCACAGCACGCGAGCGTGACCACGCTGACGAGAACGGGCACAGCAAGGGCAAGAAGACGCCAAAGAAGAAGGCAAAGGGAAAAAAGACAGACAGCGCTGGGGAAGCGGGTGATGGCAGCGGTGACATGCAGCCGGGTGCAGTGTGGGGTGCGCATGTGGTGTGCGCAACAACGCTGTGGCTGGCCATGATGTCTGGCCTGCTCACCAGCAGCGTCGTTGAGATGAGGGCGACCGCGGGCCTGTGCGCGGGCATGGAGGCCGTGCACCAACACTGCATGCAGCACTTGCAGGACCTGCCGCCGTCACACCCGGCGTCGGGCCTGCTGCTCATGGTGCAGGTGCGCCTCACCTTGTACATCACCGACCTGTGCATTGTGCTCCTCCGCGGCATGGACTGCCTGCCCACCATCTCCCACAGCGCACCTGCCGGTGACGGTGACCACCCATCATCGTCATCATCATCAGCGCCATCGCCCGCGGAACCAAAGCACAAGCAGCTGCTCTGGTCAACGGGCAAGACAAGCCGCCGCACGGCCCCGCTCGTCGCCCGTGTCACAGAGCTGCTGGCCGCCCTCCCCAGCGTGGACAGCCTGCACGCAACATACGACAGCCTGCAGCACAACGAGCTGGCAACGCGCACGCTGCTGGGCATGACGGCGTTTCTCATCCGCCAGTCCACGCTGCCAAACCTCCAGCACGCGCCAGATCTCGTGCCGCAGCGCAGCAGGAAGGGCAAGCACGCGCGCGGCAATGGTGGAAGCGCGCAGAAGGGAAAGAAGAGGACGGAGGAGGACACCAACGCCATGCAATTGGGCGACGACGTGGTGGGCACTGGTGCGGGTCAAGAAGCAACCAACGACGGTGAAGCAGCGCACGGCGGCAGCGGGGAGGCCCTGCGTGTGCGCGTGCATCAGACGAACAAGCACCTCATCCACACGCTGCTCGCCTTCAACCACCCGTCCAAATGGCTGGATGTTGTTGCCCTCTTCCCGCTCATCTGGGAGTGGATGGGCCGCCCCAGCGACAGCTATGCAGTCACAACTGATGCTGATGCGGTGGCGACCACTGCCACTGACGCAACACCACCACCAGCACCGACAACACCAGCAACAGCATCAGCATCAGCAGCAGCAGCCACCTCAACACTGACCGCAGCGCAGCTGCGCTTCTGCCAGACGATCGTGGATGCGCTGTGGCGGGACGTGGCTGCTGCCGACGGCGTGTTGGCGCTGCTCTCCTCGCCGGCGTTTGTCAACACGGCAGATGCGCACCCGGCCATCGCGGGCCGCCTGCTGCGATGCATTACTGCGGCGCTCGGAGCCAACGTTGACCACGACGACCCAAACATGGCCGCTGTGATTGGCTGGAATGACGATGCCTCCGCAGGCCATGCCGACACTGCCACGACTACAACCACAGCTGCAGGTTCGGCCATCGCCACAGATACAGCCGTGCCCGCTGTGTGCTTTGGCGATGGCATCGAGCACGCGGGCTCCACGTCACTGCTGGAGCTGTGCCAGGCGCTACAGCGGCTGCCGTGGCTGCACAGCCGCCACCTGTGCACACCCGTGCTGCTGCAGGCGACGCTGCCGCTCATTGGCCAGTGCCTGGCACTTGCTGCCGTGCCAGAGTATGCCGAGCAGTGCGCACACATCACCGTTACCGCGTGCACGCTGCTGCAGGCCGTGGGCCAGATGATCCGCGGACTGGCATTCAAACTTGGCGGCAGCAATCTCACCGCTTCTCCCGCTGGCCAAGACAGCAACGGTGACACGGTCGGCACTGCAACCGCTGCCGATTCAACTGCTGCTGCTATTCCTACTGCTGGCGTTAGTTGTGGGGTCGTGGCGGAACAAGGGCAGGCGCTGCTGGCGATGGTGGGCGAGACGCACGCACTTGTGCTGCACACGGTGGATTTGTGCACGGCGACCATGGCGAGTGGTGATGAGGGCGAAGGCGGGGACGCGCTGGCAGCGCTCGCAGACAGCGACAGTGCGCTTACCGTGTGCATGGACCTGCTGGCGTCGTTCATTGGCAATGAGCTGCTTGCACGCGTGCACATGACCGCACCCGCAGCATCTCTGGCCGCAGCGCCCGGCAGTAGTGGTGGTGCTGGTGGTGCTGGTACTGATGGTGGTGCAACTGCATCCAGTGGCAAGTCTGGCAAGAGCACGCGAAGAAAGAGTAAGGGCTCATCGTCAGCCAAAGATGAACCATCAGCAAGTGCCGCCGCAGCGAGTGTTGATGGTGCAAATCTTCTAATCCCACTCATGCAGGCTGCGCATGCAGCTGTGAGCAGCGAGACGCCGCTGCAGGGCGTGTTCACCCTGTCCCTCATCGAGCGCTTCCCCGCGTTGGTGAAGGACGCGATTGTGACGCTGACGGACAGCCAGTGCACCACGCTGTGTACTCACCTGCTCGCGGCCACGCCAGCCATGGCTCAGCTGGCAGCAGCTGTTGGTGTTGACTCGCCAGACAACCACGCGGGTGTTGTTCTTGTTGTCGACACCGTGCTGCGCGCCCTCTCTGCTGTTGTGCCGCTGCTCGACGCTGCACACGCACCACGCGCTGCCGGCAAGGACGTCTGCATCGCCATCTTTACGCAGGTGTTGTTGTTGTTGTTTAAGTTGCTGCTGTTGTTGTTGTTGTTGTTGTTGTTGTTGTTGTTGTTGTTGTTGTTGTTGTTGTTGTTGTTGTTGTTGTTGTTGTTGCTGCTGCTGTTGTTGTTGTTGTTGTTGTTGTTGTTGTTGTTGTTGTTGTTGTTGTTGTTGTTGTTTAAGTTGCTGTTGTTGTTGTTGTTGTTTAAGTTGCTGTTGTTGCTGTTGTTGTTGTTGTTGTTGTTGTTGTTGTTGTTGTTGTTGTTGTTGTTGTTGTTGTTGTTGTTGTTTAAGTTGTTGTTGTTTAAGTTGTTGTTTAAGTTGTTGTTGTTGTTTAAGTTGTTGTTGTTGTTGTTGTTGTTGTTGTTGTTGTTGTTGTTTAAGTTGCTGTTGTTGTTTAAGTTGCTGTTGTTGTTGTTGTTGTTGTTGTTGTTGTTGTTGTTGTTTAAGTTGCTGTTGTTGTTTAAGTTGCTGTTGTTGTTGTTGTTGTTGTTGTTGTTTAAGTTGTTGTTTAAGTTGTTGTTGTTGTTGTGTGCGAGTGAGTGAGTGTGTGTGCGAATTTATGTGTGTGTGTGTGTGCGATTGCGATTGCGATTGCGATGTAGTCGGTCGACCATCTGTGCCCATCCATATGTGGTGAATCGGCCTGCTTGTTCTCCGCTCACGCATGCGTTCTTGTGTCCCTCTTCGTTGCGCTGCGTAGGCATTCCAAGCGTTCAAGCTGTATCTCTTCACAGATGAAGAGAGCAGGTCACCCGTGCTGTCGCAGGTGCGTGTGCAAAGCCACGTGTGTGAAGCCACGGGTGCACTTTTCGCTTGCGGGCACATTCACGCCCACGCAGTGACGCACAACCACCCCTCCACAAACGAACTAACACTCACTCGCTCATGTTTCATGCACACACATGCACACGTACATACGCTCACCCACACATACGCACTCACGCTCACGCACACACGAAACTCCCCACCCCAACGACACCGCGGTGTAGCTGACGGAGGACGCACTAGGGTCGTTGGCGAGCGCTAGGCGTGGGTTACCCCACCTCCCGCTGTCGTCATTTGAGCGCATGTATGCCGCTGTTGTTCGCGTGGCCCTCCAGGCCCGCCACCGTCACGGTATGTGTGTGTGTGTGTGTGTGCGTCTGTGTGACTGTTTGTCCGTGTGTCTGTGTGTCTGTGTGTGCCTGAGTTGTGTGTGCTTACGAACGACCATGTGTTGATGCCGTCACAATCTCAAGTCGCAAGTGCTTCGTCTCACACGATGCGCTCACCGCTACACAGACAAGAGCGTGTCCGACGCAGCCCTCTCCTGCATCACGGAGATCACGCCTCGGTTTTCCGAGCAGCAGGTGTGTGCTCATGTTGCCAATTCTTGCGATTGTCTGACCTGAACGAATACGCTTGAAGAGCCATTGGTGTGCAAATGCGCTTGAATGCATGCTCGTTGCCCTCATCCTCACATAACACACACACACATACAGCTGCCGAGCGTGCTTGATTTCGTGGCTTCGGTGCTTGGTGCTGCTGCCACCGCTGTTGACGACACATCACAGCTGCACGAGTGTGCGCTCGCCATCCACCAGTACCGCACACTCATCACGTGCACGAACAACAATGCGGCTGCCCTGCGTCTGATGCGACGCGCGCACGGCCACACATTCCGCCATCTTCTGCGCATCGTCGAGGTATTCACTCACGTTTGGGATTGGTGTATATCGTCGTCGTCGTTGTTGTTGTTGTTTAAGTTGTTGTTGTTTAAGTTGTTGTTGTTTAAGTTGTTGTTGTTGTTGTTTAAGTTGTTGTTGTTGTTGTTGTTGTTGTTGTTGTTGTTGTTGTTGTTGTGTGTGTGTGTTGTTGTTGTTGTTGTTGTTGTTGTTGTTGTTGTGTGTGTGTGTTGTTGTTGTTGTTGTTGTGTGAGAGAGTGAGATAACGTGTGTCTGTGTGGTCTGTCTGTCTGTCTCTGTTTTGCTGCCATCATGCCGCGACTTGTTGAGCTTGAAAACCCGTACCCAACTGACTGCCATGTGACATGACCTTATGAATCACCACATCCCCCCCCACACACACATCGCCAGGCTTCGTCCCAAGAGTTGTTTGTGTGTACGACGCCTGAGGACACGCTCGAGCGTCATGTGCTTCACACGGATGTGATTTGCGCATGCTACCGCACCGTCGTCGCCCTCCTGCGATCTGGTGTGTGTGTGTGTGTGTGTGTGTGTGTGTGTGTGTGTGTGTGTGTGTGTGTGTGTGTGTCGGTGTGTGTGTGTGTGTGTGTGTGTGTCGGTGTGTCGGTGTGTTGTTTCTGCAATCCTCACCATGTTTGTGCCACCGGCTGCACTGTTCTCCCTTACAGATCACCGCAAGCTGTCCGACACACTCGCCAACGCCATCTTGCCTGCCATTGCCATGGTCTCCCTACCATCAGGCCCAGACAGGTGTGTGTGTCTGTGTCTGTGTCTGTGCCTGTGTCTGTGTTTGCGTCATTTGTTACTGAAAGTAGCTTGGAACCGCCTCCTTGAAAGCAGACTTGACTCGCTTCGCTTGCAGTTGCCTTGCTCACATTGATCATCGTTACGGTCGCGCTTGCTACCAAACAGACATCAGGCGGCCTGGGCATACAATCTGCCCACCCTCTTTGCGTCAGGGATGCAGGTCAGAACAACAACTACATTGCACGCGTTTCGTGAAACCTTTTCAGCCACCAAGGTTGAACTCTCTTCGCCGTCGCTCACACTGTCAACCACACCCATTTTCCACCCACGTCCACACACATCCACACACATTCACACACACCTTCACGCGCACACACGTACACAGCTCGTGGAGACGTTGGACCCCGTCGTGTTTGAGCTGCTGACGCGCCAGCGCCGCGTTGTGTCCACGCAGATGCCGTCCTTTGTTGGCATTGTCGCCAGAACATGCGCAAGGTCAGCACTGCTGCGTGTGTGTGTGCGTGTGTGTGTGTGTGTGTGTGGTGTGTGTGTGTGTGTGGTGTGTTGTGCTTGAGTGCCATGTGGGGGTTGCTGTGGAGGTGATGAGCATGTGCATGTTGGACTGTGTGTGCGATGTGTCGCTGCTTTTGTTTATGCTTCCCCGTCCGCGACCACCCTTCCACCATGTGTACCCATCTCCCATCTCCCTGGCTCACCAGTTTTTGTGTTTGTTGGCGTCTGTGCATGCAGTTTCCTGTACTGGTCGTCGTGCATTTCGCAGGTGACGGTGGACGCACACGTGGGCGTGCTGCGGCAGCTCAACAACGAATACAAGTGGGTTGACGTTGACGAGGCGCAAGCTGCAGACGACACGACGTTTCTCACACGTGTGCGACAGTCGCTGGTGACGCGCGCCACGCAGACGGCCGGCAAGCTCGCCCGTTCCTTTGAGGACCTTGCCACCTCCAAAGCAACTCTCGGTGTGTGTGCGTGTGTGTGTTTGCAATGTGTGTGTGTGTGTGTGTGTGCAAAGTGCGTGTATTCTGTGGTGAAAAGGAACTCCGTGCACATGCTTCTGTCCAAGCTTTAGCAACCCCTTTCATTCCCCCCCCCCACCACACACACATGTCTCACCCCGCCCCCGCCCCTCCTGCGCTCTCGATTCCAGGCAAGTTCGCACCGTATCTGCTGTCTGCGTGCTTGGTCCCGCTGAGCAATCTGATGCTGCCATCCAGCACGCGCACGGCGTTCTTCACGGGCATGTATCCGTTGGTGGACATGTGCACGTCATATGACCGCGATCTGGTGCACGCGGCGACGCCACCGGAGGCGCGACCGCTCTTCAAGCGCCTTTACGACGACTACAAGCGCTTTCACATGTACAGGGGCCAGTTCTAGCCTGAGTGCTGTCGAGCTGTACATACATGTCCTGAAATCGTTTGTGTGTGTGTGTGTGTATGTGTGTATGTGTGTGTGTGTCTGTGTGTGTCTGTGTGTGTCTGTGTGTGTCTGTGTGTGTCTGTGTGTGTGTCAGTGGTGATTGTGATGTGAATCAAAAAGACCAGACGTAAACAGAATCATTGTTGCAATGCGAACCACATGACGTCATTGTATGCGTGACGAGGCGTGTGTCGATTTTATTGATGACCACTCCACAACACAATGAGGAGAGCGATGCTTCCGATCCTGCTTGTTGTGGTGCTGGCCCTGCTTACCGTGCTTCCTGTGCCGTGTCTTGTGCAGGCGGCCGTGAACGACCGCACGATCGAGTACCGACTCTATGAGTCCACCAACACGACCTGCGGCACCCAGAAACGCGTGCGTGCGTGTGTCTGTGTGTGTGTGTGTGTCCGTGTGCGTGTGTGTGTCTGTCTGTCTGTCTGTCTGTCTGTCTGTATATCTCCTTCACACACACACACACACACACACACACACACACCTCTCTCTCCCTCTCTTTCCCTTAGTGACACGCTGGCATGGTTGTCTCCTTCCCCGCTCTGTCCCTCACCAAGTCACCAGTGTCTTATGCCTAACACGATAATTATCGTCATGTTCGTGGTCACAGTTGCATGTACTCGAGGAAGGCTCTTGCGTTCCAACGGGCTCCGTGTCGCTGCAGTTCACGACGTTGTCACCCAACAACGATGTGAACCTGCAAGCGTTTGCGTCCGCGACGTGCGACATGTCGACGCGGTACGCCAACGTGAACATCACCAACGACCAGTGCGTGCTTGACAGCACGTACGCGGTGGATGTACGCTATATCACGCGTGCCGGGTGCTCTGCCAGCTACGGTCCGAGCATGCTGCGCCTGACATACTACGACGGCTTCTGTTGGAGCAGCAACGTGACTGCCACTGGCGACATTGTTCCGGATGGCACCTGCATCTACAGCGAGGCCAATGGCTACTACTGGCGTGTGACAATGCCCGTGAGTGGCTGCGCTGTTGGTGCTCCAGTTCGCTTTCAGGTGTGTCATCGAGTGTCAGGAGGGTGCTCTTAATTGCAGATGATCTGCGGAGCCACGAAACACTTCCTTCACACACCTCTCAAACCATGTTGTCTGAGCTCCGTGTTTTCTGAGCTCCGTGTTTCTTCTCTCCTTCTCTCTCTCACACACACATACAACTCCACACACTTGCATGGACACAAACACAGGCGTACAACGATGCACAGTGCATTCAAGGGATCGGCGAGTACGAGGTTGAAGTGGGCCAGTGCCCGTTCAGCATTGAAGGCTCTCGGTTCTTTCTTGGCTGCACGTGTGACACCACCATTCCACTCACGTCGTCCATCTCCATTTCCCGTCCCCTTGTTGGGGCCATCGCCACGGCGGCTGCGGCTGTTCTGCTGCTGCTTTAAGCCAAAAGTGTTGCCATTTTGCGTGTGTGTGTGTGTGTGTGTGTACGTGTGTGTGTGTGTGTGTGTGTGTGTGTGTGTGTGTGTGTGTGTGTGTGTGTCGTGTGTGTGTGTGTGT